CATCACCATCACCATCACCATCACCACCACCACCACCACCACCATTGTGGTCTTTGGTCTTCAATATTTACAACATGACTAACTGACTTACCTCAGTTTTTGTTTATGGTGTTTGTTATCTGTAGTTCTTCCTCCAACGACAACAAGTCCATCTTGACCTTGTGGTATTGCAAGCACGGCAATCTCTCTTAAGGTAATGATAAGCCCATATCAAACCCCAGTAAATAATAAGCATGCTTTCAATTGCCAAAAACGTGGGGTATCAAAGCTAAGACCGAAGAGCGTTCTGGATAAACATTGAGGTTGATTTTATGCATATTAGCAGTTTTGCTGCTCTCAAACAAAGGATTTTGTCATTCTTTACGCATGTGTCTGTATGCAAACTGTCTCCGAATGCTATGATTTTGACTAACCCGTGGTCTTACCTTCGATAGTTAGCCTTTCCAGCAACAACGTTTTTTTTCAATTTGGTGTATCATAAAATGATAAACCTTCAAGTAAAGGACTCAAACGCATGGCTATCTCTGCAAGTGTTGCATGCAATGATTTTAATTGAAAATGAACTTGAACTGCAACATTGTTCAATAAAATGCGACTTTGTAGAGTATGGTACTCATATAGGCTGAATTCTGTGGCACTGCGTAGGTTTCTTTTCTCCATTCTCAGTACTGCAGTTTGTTTCATGTGAGATCCCTAAATAACTATGTTGCTGGCAAAATTGCCCACAACTGTTTCTTTCTTCACTTCTTTTCCCCTCATATGAAACAACAACAAAAACACAAACAAATTGAAGCAAGTTAACATACTTGAAGTGCATAGGTGTCTTGCTGTTTACTTTGACTGTCGTTTTCCATAGGAGGTTCAAGAAATGGTCATAAGCCAGGACAGACCAGTCACTTGTTACAACAATTATGGTCTGGAATGGAAGTAAATGAACCTGCATTAGCCTTGGGGTAGTCAAATTTGATCACTGATTGCAAACACTAGCTCACTCCAAGTGGTCGAGACAAGACAAGAGCTTTGGCTCCTTACAAATACCTTAGTACTGAATACTCTACCAACATCCTGCAATCCTATCATCCTAACAAACAACCTAATAACACCCTGAAAATACTCTACTGACACACTGATGACACTCTGCCTACATCCTACTGACAACCTACCTTCACCCTACTGACACTCTACTCACATCCTACTGACACCCTACCAGCACCCACCTGACACCCTACCAACACCCTGCTGACACCCTACCAGCACCCTACTGACACTCTACCAGCATCCTACTGATGCCCTACACACCCTAATGACAGTTCCTACCAACACCCTGCTGACACCATATCAACACCTTACTGACACTCTACAAGTTTTTGCACACTTTTCTACTAGCACTGATTTTGGGATTGGATGTTTTACAATTACCATGACATAATATAGTGATGACAATATGTGCCGCAAGGTCATATGTGACTTATAGCACTGTAAGTCTAAATGATTATTAAAAAGTATTATATAAATGAAAAAAACTTTTGTGAAAATGGTGCTTGACTTGGTGTATTTTCTCACCCGAACCCTAGAGGGAGGATTTGGGTGAGAGGGAAAGGGGCCACTTGTAAGTGTCTGCTTGCCTTTTAAGGCAATTTAATTCCAAATATGTCTTTAAAAACATAATTTGAATGCTAAGTTGAAGTTACTCTAAAATCCAAGTTCTTGTGCTTAATGGTTTTGTCATACCTTATAACATTCATCATGTCTTGCTCTGTTTTTTAAACAACCTGTTGCCATGGTGACAGGAATGGGATGATAGTCTGATGTAACATTGTCCAGTTTGATGGATGTTTCAACCTATTTCATGGAGGAAGATATCAAGTTTTTTACAACTATGACTTTTGATTCAAATCCATGGTTCTTATCCTATATTTAGATATTATCAGCTAGGGTCACATGACCTGTTAGAGCAAGTCATCCATTCACCATTTAGATGTATAATACCTTTATGTGCAGATGTGGCAAGAGATCTCCTCCAAAGTCCTTGGTAGGGAAGGTCATGACTCTGATTCTGCCATCTTGAGTGGCAACAACAAGCTCTTTGAAATAGAAATACAAAAGAATGTTAAATTATCTGACATATTCTTCGTTCGCACATTACGTCATTAAGGCCATGTTGGTACCATCAAACAAAAGATTTCTCATTAGCATCCATTGTTAACGGTACCACAATGGCCGCCATGTTTTTGTCTTTTAACTCTCTTGGGAATGCTTTCAACCCATCAATTAAAAAGGTTATTAATGGATTATGATTACTAAATATGGAAATAAAAACTACAATAATAATACCTCAATGGTAAATTATTTTAGGTAGACTTACATGGAACGATTTTTCCTCACAACTGTAGCGTGGCTGATGACATGGATTGCTTCATGTCATTTATGGCAGCTAAGAACTTGGAATAAGCGTATTATTGCATGCAACAGTTGAGTGGAAAAGATCTTACCATGTAAATCAGCTTTTTTGATATTAAACATTTACCATTAATCCCATCACTGTCAAGGTCCACTATGATTGGAAGTGGCCTAAAATTGATAATCATGATATAGTACCATATTATTAGTATGCAATTTGTTCTGTATTAATAACTGGATAGAGCAAAGAAAGAGCTGTTTTTAATTTACTTGGTGTTTGTGTGTGTGTGCAGATGTATTTATCAGTTTATCAGTCAAAATTCAGGATAAAAAATGTCTTAGTATTACTTCCGATCTGAAAAACTTTGAAAAACCTCATTATCTCAGAATCACCGGTCATTCAACCAATCACAGCTCGAGAAACTCTATATTCAAGTCTAAACTTATACCAAAACCTGTTATTTGAGATACAACCAGGTTATATTTCAAATATTAAAATGTTTGAGATATAATATGTATGGTGATAGAGGTTTGCACTGTCTCATGATGATACCCATGTTAGATTGCAGGAACAATTTACAATGGTTTTAATTTACATATTAAGAAAGAATTTCCTTCACAAGAGCAAAGGGGGTTAGTTGTTCTGCCATCTAACCACATGCAGCCCAACCTGCATTATGGGCATGAGTTTGTGATGGTGCAAAATCGTTCAAAAATACTTTATAAAAGCAATATACAACAACTACTTTTGTCTGTGTCTGTGATATAAACATGCTGGGAGTTGTGTAGAGCACTTGCAAAGCAAGAGAAACACTGGGCTAAGTTGGTTTTTCATCATGCTTTACAGCTTCCAGCATACTACTCTTCCCAGTAGACTGAGGAAGTTGTGATTTTTTAATCATCTTCGTAGTGTCTGTTATGTTATCCGCAAGTACATTTCAAATTGACCACGTGATGCCAATGTTGTACCATGAGGACAAGTTTTTTACACCACGTGATTAAAACTTGACTGAATTTTGATCAATGGTGTAAAAAACTTGCCCTCGTGGTACAACATTGGCATCACGTGGTCGATTTGAAATGTACTTGCGGATAACATAACAGACGCTACGAAGGCGATTAAAAAATCACAACTACCTCGGTCTACTGGGAAGAGTAGTATTCATATCACTGTACAGTGGCATGCATGCACCTTTCACATTCCTAAAATATACAATAATAATTCTTATTGGCTGCTTACAAAATATTGTTATGCTCTGATCCAGTTGTCTTTTCTATGTCTAGTCTCCATACTGGCTTGAGCTCATAGACATCAGGAGCTCTAAAAATAAATATAGCAGCCAGGAATCCTATCACCACAGCTACATCTTGAGGACGTATCCTGCTCAAGTCAAGTGATTGTGGAGATACCATCAAAAATATACCCTAAAGCAGAATAGGACAATAGTATATATTATATTAGTTTATACTTGCCTCAATTTTCACTTAATTGTTGTTAATTTGTGCACATGATAAGCAATATTTAGATAGTGAGTGGAACATGTTGGATGCAAGGATGGAAGATATTGTCGTCAAATAAGAAACAAAATATGTTCATTTATTTAAAAAAGGAAAGTGAAGCAGATGTGGTCATTTTGGTAGTTGGGATTCCTGTGGTTTACCATAACGTGGAAAACTCATTTAAAGATGCAACAAAATGCTTCGTTTTTAAGACCGCATATTATTTAAAGCAATATTGCATTACTTACCTAATTTGCACACTTATAGAACACCTGCAATTGAACAAAAAATTTCATTTTTTGCGGCTTCGGCAAAACACTACAACAACGTCCGCCATCTTGAATATATTAAAATACAAATATGGATATGCATACCATTTATGGAAGAAGCCTAAGTGGACCAATGAAAAGCAAGTATTTACTTGAATTTGATTGGTTGGAATGAGCAAGCGTGGGTATTTTGAAAATCATTTGATTCAACGTTCTAAAATTTGACTACGAGACAAGTAGGAGAAAATATAGATAATGCTTCTTTAGAGACTTCAAAAACCAAAAATATTTGTCCGATTTCGCCATAAATTTCCGGAAAAGTAGTTTGTAAATCCAAGAAGAGTCTAGCGTAAAATTGTTTCACAATGGAAGGGAATCTTTCGGGAGATTATGACTTTGATGCTCCCATGTTTGTCGACTTCACGAAGAATGAGCAGCTGGCAGATTCAGACGCTGATAGATGGTTTGGTAAGAACCAAGAAAACTCGTATATTTTAGTATTGAAGCTTGAAATAAGAATCATGAGGATTGCTTTTTATATTCCTTTAGATAACAGAGACGATGGCATCATTGAGATGGATAGTTTGGAAGAAGATGAACCCATTCCGTCTGAAGTAGAAGAAACGACAACAGAAACAGAAACTAGTGATATCAAAACTGTTCCTTTTCCTGAAGAAAAGACCGTTGATAAAGATGATCATACGATAGAGGAAACTCAAACCAAAGAGGGAGAAGACAGTGGACCTTTTATGTTCTTCAAAAACATTGCTGCGCCTAAAAATCTCGTCACATCTTGGAAGCCACGAAGCAACGCTTCAGCGCCTGCTGAAAGCGAGCGGCCGTCGAAAAAACAAAAGCACACATTGCCAAAAATCTCAAGGTAAGGAATGGTTTACTTGGCACTAGATCTTGAAAATTATCATTTCTGCGAGTTAGCTGTGCCCTCTGTGCCCTGACTTTAAGGTCAGTCCAGAGGTTTGATGGCTGACAAAAAATGCTAAAAATACGTGTTGCAAGAGATCCAAAAAAGAGATCCAACGGCTAATAGTCATAAACTAAAACTTTTCTTGCCCAAAACAATGAATAAAACGCAAGTGTTGTGTTATTAATATGAGCTCTCTTGTTCTCAGGACATTGAATTCTAGTGGGTCAAAAGTTTATGAACCTCAAGCAAAAAGACAAAAAAGTGTGCATGATAGTACTACAGAGCATGTTGCGGCTCCTCTGACAAGGTAAGCTGCACATGATACCTTTGGCTTCTCTTTCTAATAATGAATCAGTCATTGAACTGTGAGACTGTCAAATAGTTGGAAAGGCTGGAGTATTCATTCTTGTGAGCAGCAGGCATCCCAGACCTCCTATATATCCTATATTTCCTATAATTTGTATAGGATCCTATAAAGAGCCTATATTTAAAGAAAACCTCCTATATTTCCTATAAATAGGATGACTGCTGATTGATACATTTATATTTTACACTGTTTAGCATATTTGGCGAAGGAAATAAAATGGCCCCTTTTTTTATATTTTTTATGGCTTTTTAGTTCTGCAAATCATTGCCTGTGCAACCTCCTGATCCCTGATTACGCAACCGAAAAGCTATCTTAGCTCCTATAAAGTTCATATATTCTTGGGAAAAAATCCTATATTTTCCTATATTTTCCTAAATCCTATATTTAGAACTTGCACAGCCTATATTTCCTATCAAATTTGTCTAAAAAGTGGCTGGGATGCCTGAAGCAGTGATAGCTGAGTAAGGACTTGGCCCTTTTGCAATGTATAGGGGTGAACTCCTCTGTTCCCAAGGTGGGGAAAAAGATGTTATGTATTTCTTGTCCAAGAAGAAGGCCATTGCCTTGTTCTCTCTGCTCTGACTCATATACCCTGGTCACCAGAGGTTCTAAAGATCATAAAATAGGGATTCCTTAACCCTTTATGCCCCAAGTGAGCCATATGGCTCACTTCCGTAACTGGCTCCAATTCCCAAGTGAGCCATATGGCTCTCTCAGACCGTGACCTCTTCTAGCCAATCAAAAGACATGTTATATCTTTGTTTTGATGCTCTATCGTATTCTAACCAATAGGAGAAGAGTTTACATTTA